GCCTTTTTTTTTTTTTTTTTTTAAAGCTTTTGTAGTTCTAGCTACCACAGGACTCCACCTAACAGCTTCCACTACCCCAACATCTCTTTATAATTATTCTCAGACTGCAGCTAGCCAAACACGGCGGTGTCAGGTAATACTGAGAATGGATTGCTCCGTATCCATCTGGGACACGTGGATTCTTTGCGTGATTGTTGTTGTTGGTATCCCACTCTGGTCACAAAGAGACCGGGAAGCTTTCAATAAAAAGACAGATATGCTGCAGATAAGAAATACCAGCAGACTCCTAAGGGGTTTTTTTTGGGCATAATCCAAAATATGAGTTTCTTATACAGTTCCCAATGCTTTCTGCACCTGATAAGTTAGATGTAGCTCTGCTTGACCACACCTGTACTAAGGTGAGGACCTTAGTATGCAGAGGGGGATTGTGCCCACTGTGCGAGGGCAGGAGTGCAAAAGAAATGCCGCTGCATCTGTTCTGAGCTCTGGACCCTGTGTAGATGGTTCTTGCCCTCCTCCTGTGCTGATCCTCCTGTAATTGTCAGGCTTGGAGAGAGAACTTGTTGGGAGGAGAAAATATTATTGATAAAGTCAATAATACTTAGTGAAGAGAAGGCTGAGAGGTGATCTTGTGGCTGTCTGCAAACTCATCGGGGGGGGGGGGATACTCTGTTTACCAGGGTGCCCCTCAGGTTACTAGAAATAATGGCCACAGAGTAAAGGAGAGTAGATTTAGATCGGACATCAGGAAGAAATTCTTTACTGTGAGGGATGCCAAAATATGGAATAGACTTCCAAGGGAGGTGGTGTTTTTCCCTACCTTGGAGGTGTTCAAGAAGAGATTAAATAGGCACCTACTTGGGTTATTTAACCCCAGCGCTCTTTCCTGCTTAGAGCAGGGGGTCAGACTCGATCTACAAGGTCCCTTCCGACCCTAGAAATCTATGAAAGTCATATCTGTGTATGGCCACATTTTTAGATACAGGCCTTCAGTTACAGCCACTGTCTTTCTATGCATGCTTTGCGTGAACAGACTATTTGGGGACATATTCACCCTTATAAGGTTGCCAGGGGACAGTCTGGGCTGGTGCTTTAAAGATATCCCATCTTAGTAACAAACAGGCCCCAGGAAATTCTGCTTGGGATTTTCACTCTCACTGTGCCTACTAGTATTGGCGGCTGCTTCTGTGTATGGCAGGAACTGGGACACGGGATTGAATGAACCCTTATACCATCATTCATCTTATGCCGGTGCTTTATGGGAATCTCCTGTTGCAGCTTGATTTTTGATTTCCTCTTTCCAATGGCGATTTTAAAGCAAATGCTTCCAAAGTAAACCCAGTCATTTCACACTACCCCTTTTGCTTTGACTCCTCGAACAATTAGATGTTTCAGTTTCAGCCTTCATTGCGCTTAGAACAATTATCTGGCAGAGATCTTGGCTGCTCCTTTGCATGCTGGATTTAAATGTATTTTACTTGGCAGTCTAGGATATTGAACATGGAAGAAATCCAGAGATTTGTTCCTTAAACCCAGACTGCAGAGGCTAGGGAGGAAAAATTAAAATCAGCTGGTGTCCAGGGAGCAGAGGCAATCCATGTGGGAGGCAGGCCAGGCCCATCGGGGATTGCTCTGTGCTGCTAGATGGGCCAGCGCAGCTGTGGCCTTGTGGCCTGTAAAGGCCGTTTCAAAAGCCAGGGATAAAGATTTCTCGCTAGAAATGATATCCAGGCCCAGAGCAGCTACTTCCTCCCCCTTGCACAGAGCTGTACGAGCCACTCTCTCTCCGGACAGAAGGTGCAGGGAAGAGGTGAAATTCTCTGTGTTCAGCTTTTGGCCGGAGAAGTAAAACAGTTTGACTTGTCGACTCCAGTGTTCTTAGATGCCTCCCATGTGCCCCTTTCCCCGCAGGTGTTGTCTTTCTGTCTGGGAGACCCCACAGCCAGTGGTGTCCCAGTAACATTTTCTTGCCAGGCCCTGGGCTGGGGAGAGAGCACTAAGCATATGAATTGGGCCTCAGGGTTTTAAGTAGAAAATTGCTGATTTGGATGGGTGTGACGATTCGTGGCTTAGCACAAGATCCAGTTTTAAAAAAGGGTGGCAGAAGCTTTGGGTGGTTTTCTTTCCTACAAAAAAATGGGTGTTCTTTTGGTCAGGCTATCAATAGCATTTTGAGTGAAGAAGTCCCATTTGTTCCAAAAATACCCAGAAATGCTGGTTGTTGGGTTGTTTTTTTTTTAAAACTTGGCATGGCCACTTTTTGGGGAGAGAGCTAGAGCTGCAGACAGAGGTGCATCTGTAGTACCAGCAAGGCTACGAATAGCGGTCTACTCAACTGCCCACCTCCTATCCAAGCAGCAGGCTCTAGAAACTCGCCCTCTTTCCAGATGTCTGGACTCTCAAACCTAGACCTTTGCAGAAGGGCAGCTAACACTCCTTCCCAAGCCCTTCCCTTTCTGCCTCCCACCACACCTTCCCAAATCTCTCTGTGTTCATGTTTCTTGTATCTCCCCTTCTATGAATGATGTCTCTTGTTTGCTCAGAAGTAACCTCGCGTATGCCCTTTGAATTCAATGGAGCCAGGATTTTGCCTTTAGAAATTGGTACTTAGCAAGGGCTGGTTCTGTTGCTGGGCCTGCTGCCCAGCTAATTTTGCTGTGTAACCTTGAACAAGTTGACTGACCCCTCTGTACCTCAGTTTCTTTGCTGGTAAGATGATGAGGATAACGATACTTGAAGGCTTTCCCAGTTCGATTATCAGGCTTAATTCATTATCTTAAAGATCAGGCTTATTTTCTTAGACAAGCTTGAAAAGGCCCTCATCTCTTTTGGTACTGAAGATCAGGGCAAAGGCTTCAGTAGTATACTTGTTAAAAAATGGCCTGTCTCTTTGAATGAAGCAGTTCCACTACACTGTTCTTGTTTGCAGAGGATAAAACCCCTTTGGCCATGGTTTCTCTCCAAATCTAGAGGTGTCATTTCCAGCAGGCATGAAACCCCCGCTGGACTAGCTGTTTTACTTTCTAAAACCAGAATGCCGTCCTAGCGGTTGAAGCAGCCAGGAATCGGGGCTTCGGGCTTCTGCAGCAAGCTCTGCTGTTGATGGATGTCATGGCCTCGGCCAAGTCAACCTCCCTGCCGTTGTCTTCCTGTCTATCCATTTCTTTCTCTCTCTTTCGAGTGACCCCCCTCTGTTCATATTTGCAGGAGATGGTGATGCTCGTGTTTGGCAGACAGGCTTTTATGGTAAAAGGGCCAAAACTATGAAAGCAGAATGACTTTACAGCACAGCGTATAACTAATCCCTTTGACTTGGCCTTCACATAGCTCTAAATGAAGTCACAAAGGTATGGGATGGAGAGGAGAGAGAGAACTTACATTTTAAAAGCAGAGCCAAGACATCCCTGATCTACCTTGCAACATGCGGTTTGGAGCAGCCGTATCAGCTTGGGCTAAAATGAGGGGTTCCAAGCATTTCCCCGTCTGACGGGTCATTTTTATCCAAATTCAAAATCACAAAGCCCTACGTTCTAGCCTATGGGATTGGAGCATCAGGTTCTCCTACCCATCCTGTGAGGAGGTGAAAGAGGTAAAGCAGATCCTTTCGGGAGGAAAGGTGGAGATCAAAAGAGAAACGACCCACCGTGAGCTCAAGGCGTTAGTCTTTGTTTTGGAAAGAGCATGGGCTTTATTTATCCGGAAGGACCTCCAGTGATTTTTAGCATGAGCTGCCTAGCTGCAAAGCTGAGTTTATCATACTAGTGCCTCGAGCTGCTCCCTGCGTTCAGCACCCTGGCAGAGCACGCTGCCGCGCCACCGATTTAAGGTTAGAGTGGTTTCCCAGAAAATGCTTTGTAGTTTTTTTTTTTGTAGTGTTGACTCCTCCTGCATCACCTTTGGGGCAACGCTGTGGAAATGTCCCTAATGGCCTTGAAGCTAAATCTTTTTTTTTTAATGGACTCAAACCACATTGCAGTCCATAAATAAGTGACTGGACTTTCAGCATTCACAAACTCCTGCAGCTCTTGCTGACTTGATTGGTATGTTTTGGTTTCTCAGTCAAGAAGATTTTGAGAATAGGACCACTTAGTTAAATGGCTAACTTCAGGCACCTAAGGGTGAACATTTTAGCCAGAGTCTACTTTTGGTACCGAGAACCAGTTGTGTGCTGCATCCTTCATTTACATTATAAATCAACTAGAGTGCACTGCTTGATGTGGGCCAAGAGTAAAGGGGCTGGGAGAGGCTGGGTAATATGATGGACCATCCACTAGACTCCAGATTTTGGTCTCCAAATTAAGCTGGTCATGGCTCCGTTAGTAATATGGAATGAATGCATTTAAACGCTCTTCTCTCT